TATATATATATATATATTTTCATGTTGTATTTTAAAGAATAAGAAATTATTATTTTAAATCATTCGAGCTAATTTTGAGACGAAATAAACAAACAAATTTGAATCAATACTCGCAAGCCATTTGGAATGAGCATATTTTGAGCAAAAAATTCTTAAACGAGCGAAAATACAAACAGGAATGGGGCTCACACAAATTCAGAAAATCGTGTGGTATATATGTAAATACTATTTTCCTTAATTATATTACAGAAGAAAGATGGGATTTGCGTTCAGCTTGCACTTAAACAAAATAGCAGTTTTAAAGCAAAATTCAATTGCAGTGCATATAAATTTCTCACCCTTGCGCAAATGCCAGCTACCAAAAATTAAGATCCTAACATGAATTAATCATTTATTCTGCAAATATAAGCAAACCAAAATTTAATTGCATTATGGCCCATAATTTCAGAAGAAACATACCAAGTAATTTTATGGCTGCACAAAGCGTTCCACCGGTTGCAATCAAATCATCAACTACTAGTGCACGTTCGCCAGCTTCAACAGCCCCAATATGCATTTCAAGGCAATCACTTCCATACTCCAGAACATACTTCTCTGATATTACTGCACCTGTTTTTTACAAGGAAAACTAACATACATAAATACCCTGCAATTATTCTATATTTACATATTTACATGTGTAACCCTCAAATCTTTAACATCGCAAAAATACCACCATTATTGTCTTTTAAAAGTAAAAAATACAACTTTTCGAACATAGGTTTATGACACCGTGGTGTTATTAATATAAATATTAAACTTTGGGTACTAGATATGTAAATACAAAAAAATGATACGGTGTGTATGTAAATATCCCTAAAAAATGAGAAAAATTATTTCATATTGTCCGATCCAGACCGTAAATCAGGTGATTTACGGTCTGATTTACGGCAAAAAAAAAAACTGAAATAATCCTAACCGTAAATCACCGAGATCTAAGGTCATGATCGGACACCGCATGTAGAATGCAATAATTTCCCAAAAAATGGGCATTCTATAAATATCAAGCATTACATATCTTTACAAGAGTGAAGTTTAGAAACACAAACAAATAATTAAAAATTAAGGGGCATTTATACTATTGTTTACGCATCTTTGATATAATTATGCATATCAATAGTATAACTATGATGAATATAATTATATCATTGCTCCCTCATCTTTAATCGGTCCGGATCTACCCCGATTGATGCATAGATAAGATGGTATGTGAGTAAAAATCAAAATTTATGTGATAGATATATAAATACATAAAAATTGAGTGGACTGTCTGGAAAACTTCCTTCTAGCTTTTATTTTGTTTAATTCATGTTCTGATTAAAAATTTTTAAAAGTAAAATATACATTTTCATGCATTTGTTTATGACACCAAAGAGTTACAAGTATAAATATCAAATTTTAGTTGTCAGATATGTAAATACACAAGAACTGTGTGGTATTAATGTAAATTTCCATTAAAAAAAAAGGTATTAAAACTAAGATGAAGAAATTTGCATTGCAATGTTCTAAAGTTGAATACAGGAGTGGAATAAGATTACCGGGCAGCTTCTTTGGTTTTCTTAAAGGAACAAACTTTGCGCCAATTGCCAAAGCAATGGGGGGGCCAAATATAAAGCCTCTTGCCTCAACTCCTGCAATAATCAACACACATATAACTTCAATCTCAAAAAATTTGTTGCATCATAGATGGAGCATTTACATCCATACCACAATTCTTTAATATTAACTTATTTACATTCACAACACTTAAATTTTTAACATCACATCAAAAAATACACCTTTTTATGCATAAATGTACAAACATTAGGTTTGAGATGTAAATCCGTAAATGTTGTGTGGTGAATATGTAAATTTCCCAAAAACTTTTTGACAGTTTTTTCGATGTGTGTACTTGAAACTTCTTCAAGCTATTACTTTTGCAATTGCATGCTACATATTTTAGTAATTTATGCAATTGAAAACATATCCAAAGCATTGAAAGAAAATGATGTGTGCGAGATTTGAAGTACAAACAGATTTGACATGTCCAATTTGCGGCCCATATTAAAGAATCGATTTGAATTTATGCTAAAAGGGGCCCACTATGATAAGAGGGTTTTATACCAAAGGCAATTAGAGGCAAAACGTAAGTAGTTGGAAAAAGCATTCATGAAGTTAATTTTACAGAAAAAATTGTGAAAATTAAATTAGAATTGCAGAAAAAACAGAATCATGCATGCACCAAACCGAAAGAAACAGTTCAAACAACTGTAATGAAAGCTATTCAAAAAGAAAATTGCATGAACTCTGTTTGTTTGGATTGCCGGCATGAAAGTTGCAGTCATATAAAATATGTAACTTACCTAAATTGATTCATTGCACCGCTCATAACTTACATGCATAAGACTCAAAAGATAGTTAGAAATTAAAGCATGATAAGAAGCATAATTTGCAGTATTGTTGACTCAAACAGCATCACCTAAAACTAAAAGCTATCAGCTCAAGCAAGATTTTCGAATACCAACAAGTAAGATGAAGAAAAGGAAACGGTGATGAGAAGGAATAAGATGCAGAGAAAATTGGAAAAATAAGTCGGCCGATTTCAGAATGTCTTACTGAAAAGAGTCACCCTTTTCCCACCCAAGCAGAGATTAATGAAGGTAGGAATCCCCCCAGAACGGAAACATTGTTAAAAAAACAAGGAATTGGGCAGGAAAAGGGTTAAAGGATGAGCATATCACCTGCAACGACGGAAATTTCCTTGCCTGTGTAACGCTCCACGAACAAATCCACAGTGTTCTTGAAAGCCTCAGGATTGAGAAGCAGCGTGGTAATGTCCTTGAACTTAAACCCTTAATCCCATGAAAGAACATGTACAGAACAACCAGTTAGATCAGCACTCAGACAGCAAAACTTGATCTTGATGAAGGAAAACAGCAATTCCGTCAGCTCGAGGGTGGAAACACAGAAAGTAGAAGCTAGACGAATGTAAAGATTTATTTTTTTCACAAAAAAAAGGAGTACGAAACCTGGATTGAGGAAGGAGAAGCTCTGGAATAGAAAGAGAACAGAGAAATTTTAGAGGAAGGATAGACCTGGCTTGGGGAAGTCAGAAATGACGCGCATTGAGGAAGCAATCCCATCAATACGAGGATCATTTTCCCTGTCCTTCCAAGCTGACATAGTCACAAGCTGAAAAAGGCAAGAAGATGAAGATCCTCTGTTTGGCTACTTAGCCGCTGAGAAAGAAGAAAACAGAGAGCTTGGAGAAAGAAATAAACAGCGAGCGACCTATTTATACTGGCGGATGTTGGAGCACATGGTGAAGGAGGGAGGAGAGCGCTCTCTGCACCAAAAAGGGAGAGGAGTTAAAGCCAGCAGGGAGGAGGAGGAGGAGAGAGAGAGGAAGAGGAGAAAAAAACTAAAAAGGAATCCGGAGGGAGAGAAGAAGAAGCAACTGAACCGCCACATTTGGCCAACGACTCACCGTCTTCACCCTTCCCCACAAGCGACTAAAAACACAGATATCACGAAGCAGATATTATCGCTTTTTCTTCCCCTACGAAATCTTCTACTTTTCTGTCGCTCCTCTTCTCGCTTTCTTCCTCCACGGATCTATTTTTGCTACTTAAAGGCGACAGCTTTTGCGTACATTTCACTTGAGCCGAGTTTGTTTGCCCCAACCTATTTTTGTTTAGCACATAAAATGATAAAACTTCAATTTTTATTTACATATTGTCTTATCTTTGTATAGAAAGATGTACTGATTATTATTAATTTTTGGTGGATATGAAAAGTTTTGATTGTGTAAATATAAAAACGGAAATTTAAATATTAGGAATAAACTCCATTTAATAAATTTTATATATGAAAAAAATAATCTACTAAAATAATGCAAAACCCTCATAATTGGAAAATAAATAATAAGTTATTGTTAATATCTTATTAAACAGTGATATTGGATGAAAAATGGTGCACCTAGGCAAATCTTAGCACAATATCCAATTTTCGACTAAGATGAACAAGAAAACTTAGCTTAGCATGATAACACAATAAAAATACATCACTAAATTCATTTCGCAAAGTTAAAAATTAATTACAAGATTTGAAGTATAAGAGAAATAAAAATAGAACAAAATAACCCTATGATTTATAAAAAATCTTGAAGTCCTCCTACTAATTTTCTCTCCTTGCTCCATTCAATAAAGCAATGATCACTATCACACTTTAAATGAATCATTCTCACTTACTTAAACCCTTAGTAACACTCTCTAAGCTCTCTAATGTTCTTAATTATGTCCTCTAATTTTACAAGTGTCTCTTTTAAGTAAATTCCCTCTGCTTTAATTGCCACTCTCCCACGAAGAATTTGAAATTCAAGGGGGATAGTTGTTTTGTTGGGCTTGTCGTGCCACGATATTATAGATGTGGCATCTAGGACTTGTGATTAGAGATGTGACGCTCTAGGAATGACACTAGGAGCCATGCTCTTAGGTTCATGTTTCTTTGTGTTGGCATCGATAGCGTTACAACTATGGGAATAATTGGGTAGACTCTGGATTTGACACCTATGATCTAGAAGGCACCATCTAAGCTAATTGATCTCTCTTTAAACTCTTTTTGTCTTTAAATGGTGTCATGACACTGCGGGGTTAGATATGGGCTCCTAGGCGTTGGATGGATGGCGACCAAACACAAAGTTTTCAGGTATTTGCATGATTTATAATTCAGCATTGTGCAGAGGCACAAGGAATGACATTGAGAAGCTCTGATAAACTTTAACAAAATTTTCTAATTTTTTAAGGAGCATTCTTACACAATGAAATGCATAAAACTATCCCAAAATATGAATTAAACATGAAATAAAACAGGTACATAATGCTTTATTTATTTATTTTTTCACTCAACGCTTTCTCACCACCAGAATATGAGTTTAGCAAACCAAAACTGCTAATTTTTTTATCTATATAGAAGTTTTGGTTTGCTAACCCATCTAAATCAAAATTATAATTGACAAATAATGTTGGTTAAATAGCGGTTACCACATCTACCATCAGTCATACGTCGAAGCACTCAACTTCAAAAATCTTAATGCCATAATTATGTCATAAGTGATGAATACAAGTTTGAATAATTAAAATTAATGAGAAAAGTTTTAAAAGAATTTATCACTTGAAATTATGGTAAATAATAATAATAATGTCTCGCAATTTTTGCATTAAAAATATTTACCTTTTTGAGATAAATTATGTGTCTTTAGTGATTTATTTCTGGAGTACTATGAGAATAATAATGGCTTTAAGAAAATCAAAACGCTTCATAAAAATGACTTGATAATGAAGATATTTTGTTCCAATCAAATAGTATAAGTAGTTCATTTCAAAATGGTTCTTACTGGTTGTTGTCATCATCCCTTTTTACTTATAAGCCATAAATATTTAAGACAATATCTTAGAAAAACTTAATTAGCTTAAAATCAACCAATTTTAGCTGCTACAATGCAAACATTAGACTAATTAAAGCAATATGTATACCTATTGATTCATATTCTTAGCTTTTGGCCAGTGATTCTACAAAATTGTATGTAATATAGATATATTTTCATATGTCTCCATTATTTTCTTATATCAACTTAGTGTGAATTTAATATTAGAATTGGGAGTTAGGGAGAAAAAATTTATATTGAGTGTTGCAAAGTACTTCATCTTCTACACTTTATGCATCATCCTACTAGTTCATTTTTCAACTATTCAATTCTTAGATGGAATATTTAAATCAAACTAAATTGAACCCATGACATAACATGATTCACTCATATTCACAACACATTTAAGTATCTATTACGAGAAATATGTTCTTATGAAAAGTCTTATTTTGATTTTTATGATGTGACGCTTCATTATCGATTGCATCATGAAATTATATAGTAATGTCATTAAGTTCTCACCAACATTCATTTTAGATGCCAACCAGCTTCAATCATATTCCTTGCATGTCCTTTTGGCGCTTCTAGAAGAAAACTTGCACTAGTGCCAAGTGCCAAATTTTTCTAAGAAATGTTGTTAATTTAAAAAATTATAATTAGAAGCAAATTTTATAATTAATATAACTATTTTTGTGCCGAATTCATAACATGCAATCATTAAACAAAATGTTTAGTCAATTTTAACATAAGTTATAGCGTTAAACACCATTAAATTCTATTTTAATTAAATTTAATTCCATAAATACTTTAGTGTCACTATTAACCATTTAAAATGAAAAAGGGTTGTGGCATGCTATATTAGCAAAATTCAACTTTTTTAATTGTCATAATAAAAACTCAAAACATTAAATGAAATCCTATTCTTATGAAGCTAATCTTCGTCTTCAGTGAGAAAGTTTCATTCTGTTGGAGCGAACATGAAGCGTAAAATTTTCATTTGATGAAACAACTGAAGATACGTCTCTTGAAATTCTGAATTTTTACTAATTCAGATTGCAACCCGCTCTATTTTATTTCGAATGAAACCTCTTACTTCGTTAAAAAAAAGAAATCCCACATTTTTTAGGAAATTTAGATATTTGCCCCTTGTTTGCTGAGACACGTTTTGAACTAATTTTCATCTTTCTTCCAAAGACCCCCCAAGAAAAGTATATTACAAGCTAAACCTTATTTGGACCGGCCAATTAGACAAGGCATTATGGCGAGCCAAAAAAAGTCCAATCTTTATTCCACCATGCAAAAGTTGAATTGCCGCTGACCGTTATTGTAAATAGACCGTCTGCATTTTGTTTAGACTTTTTATTGCAAAATTTTAATTACTGCATAACGATTGCCTTTTTCAATGATTTTAAATTTTACCGATGTACCGATGGACGGACAACGGCCTGGATGTACGACGAACTCTCCTTGCTGCATCCCGGCTGTTGTCCGCACATCCGGAATCCGGATGTAATAATTGTTCATTATAATAGGGTTTTAACATGTTAATCATCTAAAATTTTAAATATAATATTTTGGTCACTTAAGTATAAAATTTTCATTTCAACGACCAATAATTTAAAATATTTTTGAAAAATGGTCGATTCTTTATACTTAAAAATTTTTAATGATTAATATGTAAAAATCTCTATAATACAGTGTGAAATTGTAAATAGAGATCTAAATAAAGCTTGACTTTTTTTTTTTTTGATTTGGGTTTGATTAATTGATTTTGAGCTGAAGTGGTTCAATTCTAGATCTAATTCAACAGCTGATGAGTTGGTTTAATTTACATAAATTAAGAAGATTATTTTTAAATTGTAAGAAAATGATAATAATAATGAGAAAATAGAGAAAAAAATGTTGGGAACTCATTTGCGATAAAAAATTGCATAACTTTTTTCAGTTTTTTTTTAAATATTTACTTATTTAAATTAAAAAATTCTAATATTTTTTAATTGTATTTAATATTATATTTTTTTTTAATTAGCTGACACGCAAATCTAATTGTAATATTAACACATGAATTTTTTTTATTAGCGACATTCAATTTTTTAAGGAGTGGTCTGGAGAGTTCTCTATGATCAGACAATGTTTGATGAATATTTGAGTGACAATGATGTCAGAATTGAACGACTTTGGGCTTCTTAGATTTATCTTGTCAAGACGCTCAATTTGAATATAAGCTTGCTAGATTTGACATCTATTTGATCTCCCAAATATGCATATAAAGCTTTCAAAAGTTGTTTGATGGCCTAATCTGAGCTTGAGTTGACTTAAATTAGCTCAATTTTGGTATCATCGGGTTCGTCTCATTGAGTCAGACAATTTGAAGTTTGCTAAAATTGGAGTTTTAGATGACTCTTGATTAAACTTTGAATGTTTCTTGCTCAAATGAATGTCTTAAGATACGTGTCATGCATTGAGATTCGTGTTGAATATTGGAATTTTGTTGATGGCATATCAAATATATATGGTTTTTTTTTTTTTTATTTGCTGCTAAACCAAGTTGAAAACAATCGAACAAAGAGTTGTTCGTGTTCGGTTGGCTTGCATAATGAATGATTCAAACACAAGCTAATTAGCAAGCCGAATACAAACTGTTTGAAAATAACGAGCTTCTTTGACAGCCCTAGATTAAACATTATAGAGTATTATATAAACAATAAATAGTAAAATCATAATTTAAATATTGCAATAATAAATGGAAACCAGTGCTGTCAGCCTTCTTTGCAATAAAGGTAGGTGACGATGTAACTTTTGCATGGAAGAAAACAGATTGGACGTTTTTGGCTAACTGTAATAGAGGGCCTGATTGGCCGATCCATGTAAGGTTTCTTTTGTAAGTTACTCAGATTAGAGGGACATTTAGGCGCCAGGTACAGATGAAAACTTAATCATGCTGCGATATGCAATCTAATTATTAATTATTAATTTAATGACAAGCAAAGGGCAAATGACTAAATTGCATTGAAGTGTGGAGTTTTTTTTGAAGGAGAAAAACGTTGCCATTGAAGTCTTTGTTGCCATCAATTTCTTATGTGACAAGTACTGGATGCCTTTGTGTTGTTGTGGAAGCTTGCGTTACCAGATGAAAACCGTCTCCGGGCTAGGTTCATCTCATCCTAGTTGTGCCCAATAGCAACTACCACTGATCCATAACGATTCTTCGTTCTACGGGCAAGTCGAACAATCATTCTGATGGCTATGTGGTCCGTTCCGGTCATGGAGAGCTTTTCTTGTCGTGAAATGTGCTTAACAAATTCCCGAGGCTAAAAAATGATCCAAAAGGTTATCACGTGACGACGCCTAACCCATCCCGAAGGGGTTGCCTTTGTCGTGTCAACACCGAAAGTCGGATCGACCACGCTCCAAGACAGAGTCAACGGCGTAATTTTGTCATGGGACGGCGTGGCCAGGCCTAGCGCTGTGAAGTTAGCTCAAAGATCGTTAATTGCTCGAAAATTGATTCGAACTTTGGCTCGGATCGAGATTAGATAAAAATAAATGACCTGAGTTGCGATGCTAGCTGACAGAAACACCTAACGGGCACTAGAAGCAGCAGACTCATGTCCCATACCTAATTTTAAATCTCATTTATGCATAGAATTAAGACCAGGTGTGCACTTATGCGGAGTCTGGCCGCCTTTTTTTGTCGTATGTTGTCGACCCAGCGAAAGTGAGCTTTCATAATTTTTGGCTTGTTTATTGTCTTTCTTGCATGTTTGCATGCTTGAATTATTTTTTCTTGTTTATTTTCAGTTGGTCTGAGATGTTACATTAATTATAATCTAGACTTATTAAGAACCTTAAAATTATTCATTTTCTACTCAAAATTATAATAATAAAAGATTGAGATAATCAAAATTTTAGAATTAAAATTGTCATGACTTTCAAAATCCTATTTTATTTTTTTACATAGCCTTCGGGCCAAATTTTAAACAGGTTGCATAGTATATTGAGATAAAGAATTCATTGTATCATGACCCAGCCATATCTAGCTGCTTAGGATGTCTTCCTCCCCTTTTATTGATAACCCCGGTTGAGCCTATTTGATCCTTTTTGATTATCATTGAAGTTATCACGTTAGTCCTGTTTGCCGATAAGTTGTTGTCCGTTTGAGATACGATGATTCACACTCTATCCTTATGGTCAGTTATGACTTTCAAAATCATTGAGATAACCAAATTGAGGTAATAATTTGCCTTTGGTTTACCATTTTAACAGTTATCATAAATTGTAAGCAAGACTTTTAATTAATTGAGAGTATTCTTAAGTTACCCCAAGGAGTAATTAACCAAAGGGATATGTTTCTTTGGGAATTACTCTTGAACCCAGAACAAAGAATAAAAAAAATATGTTTCTCTGGTATGTGAAATTCTCGTATTAATGAGTTCTTTATAGATATGATTTCAAAATGTGATGATCCGATTTATTTTTTGGACATACATTTTTGGCCTATTTTATGAAGAACGCCCTAATATAAGCTTTCATCATTCTTTTAATTTGTTTCTTTGCTCTTGTCGTACTGTCTTATTTTCCGATATCTTTCCTTCTGTGAATTATTCTGATGGTTTAAGAAGGAAGTTGCTGGAAATGAGATTAATATGACGAAAAATAGACAAGCTGACGACTCTAATAACAAAAAGAACAAAAAACATTTGTCATTTAATAAAATCATGAGAATGACCTCTTCGCTTGGATGTTTTCTTTAGTAAACATTGTTGGTTGATGACTAATTCTTCAAATGCTTGCACAATGAATTTTCTTCGTAAATATGAATCTTCAAATGGGTGATTTGATTAGATATCAAGGTAAAATGTTGTTTCACTCTTTTTAGTAGATAATTTTTTGTTATTAAACTATTCTAATTATTGAATTATTGAATGCAATTATGGGAATACATACATTAAGTATAATTTAATGAATAAGAAGTCATAAAAAATAAAGCACTATTTTTCCACCCTATTCAAGTTTAGGGTTTAGGCTCTCCAATGAATAAAATTGGAGTTAAGCTTGGTATGAAATTAAGAAAGCCATAAAAAGAAGTTGGAAAAGCTATGCTCAATTTGTGTGCTGGTGGATTGCAATAAAAGACTGATATGGATCAAATGGATTGTGAATGATGCAATTATTTGGGTTGGATGAGACAATAAAGGAAGAATATGTACCCATGAAATGAAAATGGCAAAAAAAAAATAAGAATAACTTAATTTGAGGTGAATGCTTTACATTATAAGGCTAATATAATATTTATAGCAATTATACTAATCCCTCAAAAAGAAAATGATTAAAAACATAGAGGAAAAGATAGATAGACGTATTAATTGAAGGTTTTAAATTGCATAGCCACATTATTTAAACGCATTATATTACCTTCCTATGTCATACAAATCCATTAAAATCCAATTTTTTTTAAAGAAAAAATTAAAATTAAAATATATGATTTTAAAATTAAAGCACACTATTGGCCTTGGTGTGGTCAACATCATTCATTCCTGATTTACCTTGGTGGGGATCTTTTTATGGCTCTCTTGGATGCATGACCCATACATGCCATTTTAATGCCAAGCATAAATTAAATTTTTATAATAATTATCATGATATCTTAAATATTTAAGCTTTGCTGATATTGCATAACACTCATTAAGATTTTAAATTTAATCTATGTTAATTGTTAAGTTAAAATTATTTTTGGAGCTTAAATTAATCAAAATAAGATTATGAGTGCTCTTATTTTTTGACACTATAATTTAAGTTAAAGTTGAGCTTCAACTTCTATTTAATGATTGCATGCTATAAATTTAGCACAAAATGAATGATGATGAGAATTTATCTATATATATATATATATAATATTATATATATTTATAATGCTATATATCTATATGTTACAACTTAAAGTTTAAAATTGTATACAAGGAATATTACAATTTAAAATTTAAAGTTTATAATTGCATAAAAATAAAATATCATCATTCTCACTAGGCCGAAAGAACCGATGTCGGAATTGCACTTGCAGTTTGCTCTCCCACTGACCGACCAACAATCGGCCGACCACTTGAAACCGATCGGCTGGCTTCCTTTAGTCGAGTGGCCACCAACTTACGGTCCATTGGTCGGCCACCAGGCGACCGGCCAACCACCTCCAACTAGTCGGCCACCAACTTCTAACTGATTGAACATCCAACACCAATGAGTCCCAATGAAGGAAATGCTTCAGATCAGCAGATCCAAACAAAAAAATGATTGAAATACCCTGCACCGCCCTTCATAATGTAAGGGCATATTTGTAATCTTATTTTTCCCTTCTTTTTGCTTCTATAAATAGAGGACCTTTGTCATACATAAAGGGCCCTAGGCTTTCTCAATCCCCATGTAAAGGAAACTCTGCTCTTCTCCCCATTTATAACCCTCACGCTTAATGAAAAAAAATGGGGCGAAATAGTATGGGAACACCCCTCTTTGCCCCCTCTACCAGGCAAATCTCTTTCTTTCACTCCTTTTTCTCTTTCCATCAAATTTTACACCCTATACCTTGAGCACGGACCATAGGACAAATATCCACTAAATATCCCCTACAATAATTTATAGTATGTTGTTATTATTTCATAATGTAATTAATTGTATGTTATTTTAAATTAGAGCATTTATTATTGTCAATTTAGCACTACCCATTAATGGCATGCAGTTATTATATATAATTAATACTAATGAAGGATTGAACCAAAAACAATCATTTTTCAATATCTTCAATTTTACTAAGCTCGAAAAAAACTCTTATTTAACTCGCATTCTAATTTGACTTCTAACAAGTAAAATACAAACAAATTGTTCGAACAATTTCAAACACAAGGCAAACACGACAAACTCATCTCGCTTAGGATTGGCTCATTTACACCCTAGTTCACAATGAAATCAAAATTATTCCCTCTTCTTTAACCCTTATTCATTCCAACCAAATAACATGAATATGAGAAAGCAATACTACATAAACCAAACTAGTCAAAAAAGAAGAAAATTGTGATGTCCAAAAAGAGAATTTTATCCCTGTAATAAGATAATTTTGCAATCAGGCACTCAGTTTTTGAAGAAATAAAAGAGAGAAATCAAACTAAACCAAGCAATAAACCAAAGCTGGCAATTCAAAACACCATCAATATTCCTGCACATACCATAAAAGACCTCCATGGTTATGGCTCAACTGTAATAAAAACTTTTACACAGAATTATTCACAAATCCTGAAATCATGGAGAACTAAAACGCCTCCGACGCCCTGAACATAGCTTAGAAATTCTACTTCTAACTGGCACAAACCAGTCGTCTCTAGCCTTCCTTGATTTCACTCTCCGCAGCTTGTAACCAATATTGTGCAGATCTTCACAAATTTCGTGCCTGGAGAGAGTTACTAGACCAGGCAGTATCTCTTTCTGGAAATCTCTGAAGCCCCTCCCTCTTCGCAGCCTAACCCCTCCTTCCTTTTTCCCCGTTGTGTTCACATTCGACGGTTCGATCGTAACATGACGATCTTCACTTTGGATCTCAGATAGTTGCAGTGTCATTAACTCAAACGAATCAGAGGAATATTGAGGAAGCTTGCTTCTATCAGATGAACATTGAGGAAAACTCATGAGAGCTTCGGCTGCTGATATGATGGAGGTATCCCATTCTTCTGGCTTCAGTTTCCCCATTAAAGATCCTTCATTTTGTGATGAGGAGTTTAGCTGCGTGGTTACAGAATTATCAGTGTTTGAAAACTCATTATTTCTACTTATTTCATGAGCACTAAATTCAGTCAAAAACTTTCTGGAAGGAGCAATCTCATCTTGAGCAATCGCATGACTCGATGAAGATGAAGTATCTTCTTCAGTTCCATCATTATTGTTTGGTTTGGTTACTGAATCTTTATTTGCAGTTTGTGGAAGGTTGATACTGTTGCTCGAAGTTAAGTTTGAGGAAGATCTCAGTTTATCTGTTGAGGAATCTACATAATCTTTTTCTTGTATATATAATTTCGAAATTGGCAATGCGTTTATGCTAAGAAAACCTTGATCACAAGAGTCAGTGGATCCTTCAAAGCACTCTGCTTGGATCTGGCAGCCAGAAACAACATCATTCTTATTGTCTGTGGTGTCATGGGCCAGCTTCAAATCGATTGAAATGTTAGATTTTGAAGCTTCACAATGAAGAATCAAGGAACTAGTTCTACTCTCACATGAAAGTTTTGCAGCGGCAGCCGCCGCAGCAAACGGCCATGGTGGTTTGGGGATAAATGAAGTTTCTGCTGGGCAGCTGTTGCTTTTTTCCTGCTCTAGCGTCCCTTTCAGGTCATGAGAGCTCTCATGTTCAACTGGTAAATTAAGGTCAAACAGCAAGGGTGTAGCTTGCTGCTTCGTTCTTGGTTGGTTAACAGAAGCTTCAATACAAAAATCGCCAACTCCTGCAGAAAGTAAAAAAAAAGAGTAACTTTACAAAGTTCTGGAAGTGATGTTAGGTTAAATTGAAAAGAAAAAAAAAATCAAGTTCTGATTTTTTCTAGGGATTGTTCAAATTCAATTTTTCTCTCTGGAATAGTGGAAATTTATGTTTTTTGTGAGCCTGTAAGCGCAGGCAGACCTTGTCAAACCACAAATTTGCTACTGTTCTTTTTCTAAAATATTTTTAGTACAAAATTACAGAGAATTTGATGTTGTCTTATCTTCATAAATTCGCCAATTTCAATTAACTTTTTCTGTAAGGAAATATATGCCAAATGGAAACCAATTAAATGAAATGTATTATGGGAGTTTACAGGTCTAGCTAGAGATTTCATAAACAAAGTTGCAAACTCCAAAAGATTGATAAAAGGAAAGTAGCAATATGATTTAAGTGGAAGTATAACTGAAGTAAAAGAAGAACCAGCAAGTTAAGCATAACATTGCAGACAAAAGTTCTCAATAGCATACTAATCTGAAGCAACAAAAAGAAATAATAAACAAAAATAATTACATAAATAAAGTAAGAGGATAGCTCTCATAGCTCTCATTACATTATTTCTATCTTCATTACAGATATTACCAATCACAAGTTTAAGATGTTGATCATAAGTTCCCTACATTGACTAGAACTGGATCCTCTGGCAACCAACCAGATAAATATGGTTTCTAACTAGCCTAAGCTTAAGATTTAAGTATATCTATTTCCAAACAATGTCAATTACTGTGATAGAGAGCGAATTGCTTGCCTCGATAAATAAATATACAGCTAACAGAGCATAAAACTATAAGAAACTCACCAACATAGGGAAGAGTAGGCTTTTGTTCTCTCAACTTTCTACCAGCCTCCTCACTCAAATGAGTCACAGAAGCCATTAGAGTCTTAAAATTTCCTGCTATGCTTGAGGAAACCTGAGCCCAAGGAACACTTGCCTGTGTCCCAAACACACCTGAACAATTCTCCATTGAAGCCCTCACTTCATGGAACTGCAACTCTACTGAACTCTCCAGATCAATAACCTCTTTGAGCGGAAGGTTGCTAGCTTGATGATGAAAGACCGGCTCTTTGCCCTTATTCCTGATAAAATCATCAGCAGAGAGGTGAAGGCTAAACTCTCTCGGATGATTTTTTAACATATCAGTGGACTGTCCCTTAAAATCTTTCCAATCAATCACATTTCCAGCCTGCAGAGATTTCCCTCTCAGCACCACAAAAAGCCAACAAATTTTACTACCCGGTTTAAGTAAATTTTACCTCTTTGGCTCGTGAGGACATACAGAATGCGTTTTTCTTCTCCTCCGAATCCCTAATTAGCCATGAATAACTCCTTGGGGCATCTGTATCGACATCTTTGATTAGAAGCTCATTCATCAAACTTTTCTGAGTCCAATAGAGCCGATGAAGCTCACAAACCTGAAGCATTACAAAAACCTCAAAACACCCATCATAAAAATTAACAAATATTTAATCGATCAGCGTCACTGCAAGAAGAAGAAATCAACGAACCTGATTCCTAAAAATGAATTCATGCTGAAGCATTGCCTGCTTCAATCTTTCCATCGTCGAATCCCCAAAAGCTTGCCAAGGACGGTTAAGATTCAAATCTCCGCTCCTCAACATCATCTCATGTAAACTACTCCTGAAGAATCTAACACCAAATCCAAATAAAGAAAGAAGATGAAACCACTAAAACTATCATCAAATATATCCAAAAATAAAAAAAAATTGCAGTTACGTAAACTGAAAAAGAGATCAAAAATCAACCTTTAATGCATAAAAGTGACGCTATGGTCGCATCCGTAAGGGATGAAAGGAAGGCGTGCATACGAGGCAGCGTCCCCGAAAGATTCCCATTCGCCCACCGGCGAGAAGGGCGGAGAGACAAAAGAAATAGGAGAAAGAGAGGAAGAAGGGAATCTGAGTTACCAAAAAATAAAAATTATAACTTTGGAGGCTTAAAGATACCGCCTTTCTTTTTTTTTTTTTCCTCCCCTCCTCCGCTGTCCCTATGCGTCAGCCCTGCAGCTGCCAAAAATGAAAAGAAAAAGCTCGACCGAAGATGATGAAGAGAACATCCAGAGAGAGAAACAGGCAACGATCCGTTGCTCTAAACAGAGAAAGACTGGGGCTTTGATCATTAAAATATCAAAACCGATTAAAGAAAAATAGCTTCAAAGCATCTCAGACTAAAAGTACTGATTTGCCCCTAAAGTTCGGCGCATTGGCTTTCGTAACCCTTTCTTGTCGGGAGATGGATTTGAGGAGGAGATTGACTTTTTGTTCATGCAATTAATTAAAAAGTGGGGGAATAAATGATAAATTCAAGCGTGGAAATCGAGGTAATCTGTAGCCGTCAGCTGAAGATAGAGCTCATCTGACGGCGTGGAAGGCGTTGGAGATTTTGCTTGTCGGGATTATCTATGGGTTTCAGTGTGACAAAAGCTTAGAAAATATGATCAATAAAGTATTAAATATTGTTATATTAATAATAATAATAATAAATTGGCATCTCTTTATATTTTATTTGCGAAGGTCTTTGGTCAAGAATTTGGTTTAATTAAAATGAACAAGTTGTGTTAAAACATGACCCATTCTAAGTAGATACAAAAATTAAAGAATTGATGATGAAATAGATTTTGTATGTTGGTTGTAGGGATTTTGTAATTTAACTAAAATTAACTAGAGGGTGAAGGCTATGGAGGAATAGAATGTGGGGATTTTATATGCATGCCTAGATATAATTATTGAGATTAAATTGATCAAAGAGGTTATGCATGTTGTTAGCAATGATTGAATGAGTGGATGGATCTTTCAAGGAATATAAAGATTACTTCTCTCATGGCCTAAGAGAAATATGTTCTATACTCCATAAAAAAGATCTTACATGTGTCTATTTAAGATTCATGTTTTTTTCTTTGATCATTAGATTTTTTTTAGGATAAACAATTCCAATTTTTGTCGACGATGTCTCGAAATCGGGTTCAGTTGACTACTTTCACGAGTTAGCGAATCTTGAGTTTGATGATCTAAAAAAATTGATCCATGAAACAGTAATAAAATAATATCTATATTTTCTTGATTTCTTATATTTACCCATGAGTTCTTTGTGCTCACTCATTTTATCAATATATATCTTTGATGTCATTTAGTTTAACTTCACTCATTTAAAGACGATCATCCAATTGAATGTCATGATTCACCCTCTAGCTTTTCGCATGATTTAGTTTTAAAACATGAGATTTCCCCTACTAGAATGGCTATCTTCTTCCTTGATGATGGAGAAGATTTAAAACACAAGCTTAGTTCTTTTTATCAAGAGTGCTCTTGTGCAACATAAAAAGTATTATTTACTTTACTAACAATGTTACTTTGGGAGATCCAAACTTAAAATATAAGAAATTTAATGAAAATATAAAATAGTTCTCTCTAGTTATAATATGAAATTTTTCGTAGGAGTTTTTTAATGAGTTTGGATGACTTGGAAAATCTTAAAACTTCTTTCTCTATCTTCTTACATAAATACTCTTAATGAAGTTTCTTTCATATTTTACCTATCAAAATAAAAATATGAAAATAATTAAAAAGTAGGAGTCAATGAACTCATTTCAACAATTTTTTGGTTACCCACCAAAACTAACCAAATTATATGCCTTTGGTTACCTATGTTATATATGGCTTCATTATATATCACTAACTTAGCCAATTAATTATATATTAAGAGCCTTAGCATGTTCTCTTATTTTCTTAGCGTTAATATGATTTCAACATCAGATGACATTTTTTTTTTCAAAAAGAAATATTTATAAATCTTCTTCCAAAGGCTAGTGTGTTCAATGTTAAGCCTATCACACTACCATTATCCCATAGCTAATCTCCTACTTTATACAATTGAATGCATTTTATAACCTAATATTATAGAAGTATATAGTTAGAGGTCTTGAATATCCTACACTCAATATGATGTTGCCTTTTGCATCAAACAATTTATTAAACAATGTATTATCCAACATTTGGTCATATTGTGAATAATATTTTATTCTAATATTTATATGAAATGATATATCATTGACTCTTACATAAAAAAGTGCTCTCTTTTCGTAGTATTATACACCCTTTTAGTTGTTGACTGGGAAAAAAAATTGAAATTAGAATTCATAATTTTAACATGACACAAAAAAAAATTGAAATTAGAATTCATAATTTTAACATGACACATTATTTTTCCTATATTCAATGCAATAACTCGAAGTTTTAAGAAACAAAAAATTATAGCATATTCCTCCACTAAATTTAAATATGAGGCTATCCTTTCCACCACATCTGAACTACTTTGAGCAATGCAATTCCTCCTAGAATCAAGTTTTACAATTATTTCACTAATCATTTATTATGATAATATTAATGTATCACATCTATGTAAGAATTCAATATTTTGCTCTAACGTAAAATATAATGTCATAGAGTTTTATTTTGTGTGCGATCAAATTTAGAATAAATTTTTTTGTGTTGATCTAGTGTCGGCTAATGATAAAATATCTAATGACATGTCAAAACTTATTTCACACAAACAATTTACATTTCAAGATTGATTTTCATCCCTTGAACTCAATTTTGAGAGGGCTATTACTGAATCTTAATATAATGCTATTTATAATCTTCTAAATAAAACGAGATAATATTAATAACTTGTAATAACTCCTTATATTTGCAAGTATTATTATTCATGTTTATAAATTATCATCATCACAAAGTACATGCATCTCTCCTTTGATTTGAGTCGAGTACAATGAATTGGTAATTATTATGATAAAGTGTTATCATGTGTGTATGTCTGTATATATATATATATATATAATATTTTGAGATGTACATGTATATGTATTTTTTAATAGGAAGACATATATATATATATATGTATATATATATATATAAAGAGAGAATATTAAATTGTTTATGTACTGTACAAAGTCTTTCCATGAAATACAAATGAATAACGATAATAATGTGAATATCAGATATTCCATATATAGACTTGGGGGTATTTCTCCTTCTTGATGATGATGATGGTCGAGACTTTAGCGTTTGGTCATTTTTGTAAAATGCTCATTGAATGAGCTGAGGAGAGGAGCTCGATGGATACACTTATAGGAAATTGGAATATGACAATTGGCACATATGTAGGTGGGTTTAGTTGGTCAACCTAATCAATCTGACAGTTGGGTCGCTAAAAGGAAATGGGTCTGCTTGTCTTAAGAAAGCACCTTAACGTTGGTATTGGCTCACAGAGGTATTTATGGGGTACAATGAATATCAAAGAAAATGAATGCATGCATAACTTATTTTTCACTCTAGCTACCTCCACAACATAATTTATTCATGCTCAATGCATACGAAAACTAGCATTGCCTAAGGAATTAGCATATTAAAGTTTAATTGGAAGCCTCAATGGTCATTTAGGGTTTAATTGATTATTTATATCTTGCTTTTCAAATATAGTCAACTAATTAGAAACTCAATCTAACACCTTATTTGAGTTGCTTATTTCCATCAATTATAAATTAACCAACTTAGCTAATCAATTATTATAAGCATCAACCAAGTTTGGTTTGATCGACCCATTCTCCATCCATCCAACTTGGTCGCAAAAAGCCAATGGATAAGCATCCAACCTCATCGACTATCCAACATTTGTCCGATAACACTTGTGATCGCCCATGTTACTAAATCAAGCACATTTTGTTAGTTTGAGAAAGGAGAAAAAAATTCCAAGTAAGAAGAAAATTAATCCTTACATTATATATCTTATTGACAGCTCATATTTTGATTTGCAACATTTGCTAGCCTCTCAACTCAACACATGCCATCGTTACTCTAAGTGCTTTTCCACTTTGCCTCCCCTCAATATATGCTCACCTATCACATCTTCTCGAAGACTCTTATATAATCTCCACTTATATAGTCCCTTGATGATGCCTTTTATTGTCATGTATTGTAAATTTGGAATGCTATAACATTTGATATTTGTGATCTCTCTCTTCCTCTTTTAGCAGAATCTACAACTTTACAATTCTCTCTTGATTATAGCAAATGCACCCTTTTTATAGAGTAAAATTAGGGAATAAATTTAATTAACTCAAATAAATTATATTCCATGATGTAGTGTATTTTGGTGTCCTCTCTCCTCTCATTTGGTGCCTTTAATATTTTTTCTTTAGTAAAATTTTTTAAAACTTTTTATGATATATGAAAGTTTAGTAATCCATAAAAAAATAAGATTAAGGGTCTGTTTAGGACTGTTATGGTTGTTTGAAGAAACAGTTGTGGAGCTGTTGTATAAGAAATTAGGTCAAAACAGTGCGGTAGTCATTACAATTTATTTTTTTTCCAAAAAGGTTGACTGCAACTTTCTGACAGCCACCACGCTTAGGGTCCGTTTGGGGCAGCTTTTTTGGTGCGGTGGCGTTTTGAAAACGCACCTGGCCTGTTTGGGTAAACTTTTTGAAAATCTAAACAAAATAAAATTTTGTCGAACATTACGAAATATGGTGGAGCACCGCACCATTATCCCAAACACAATGTAAATAGTTCTCCTACCCAATAATATAAGTAAGAGGAGGAGCTAATGTTTTTATCTCAAAAGTTTTAATATCGATGAGAGTAAACACATTCAAAAAGAAACACAATACTGAAATGAGAAATGCAGGATAAAAAAAATATATCAAATCAGAATATATATTCTAAATAAAATTTAATTTTGATAATTTTTTTAAAGAGATATTTACATGTGTGCCACCCGATTCATATGTAATCACATATCAAACGCCTAAATTTTAATTTTTACATGGGATGGCATGTACCTAAAATTCAATATTTAAGTGTTGAATACATAGGAATCGGGTGGCAAATATTAAAATTGCTTAATTTTTTTTTAAAATTAAATTTTGCTATAATTACTTAACTATCTAGTCTATGGGAGGCTCTATCAGGGGTCTTAGGAAGAAAAGAAAAAAACATTCACATACATACCACTTGTTAGGTATGGCTCATATACTAGAAGTTGGAATCTCGTTGAGTAAAGATGTGTGTCTCTTAGAGATAAGTGGGTTGGGGAGAGCG